ATTTTTTCAAAATTTTTTCCCCCAAAAAACCATTTGGGTAAATTTTTTTTTTTTTTTTTTTTTTTTTTTTTTTTTGTATACATGTTTGTGTTTTAGTGACGCTTTCGTGCAGTGCGACAGCGGCGCACTCCCACACGTCTCCTCCTCCTTCCCGGATTGGAACACCGGCAGCGGCGAGCAGACTCCAGCCTATCCCGGGAGAAGGTGATCAAGCTTCGGCCTCAGGTGCATCTCTGAGGCGGGGCGACGCGGAAGGTCCAGGTGGGTGATTCCTTCTTTTCTGTAACAAAGTCTCGGTTGTCTGCTCGCATCAGTACTCGGTGTGAAGTTTCCATCTCATTTTAAAAGTGCAGAATTAATTACATTGTAAAAGTTTTATTGCTAAAATGACGAAACTCAGGGACACAAATTATCCAATAAGCTTAGTTATGTTAAGTTATTGTTAAATGAATGTGCTGTAAAACTGACAACCATAAATCCTTTTTTACTGTTGGATGAACTAACATAACTTTGTAGACTAATTAATCAATAAAAACGCCACAAACCGCTATAAATGTTCTATTTCCCAAAATGCTTTGCAAATCTGGTAACATGTTGTAACCACATAAGCATCCAACAGTTTTACTGTCCAAACCGCTATTTCTGTCTACGGGCTGTACAAGCTTTTTTACTGTTAAAATAACCAAAATCGCAGTGTATTAAATTGTTTATTGTTAAAATGTTAATTGGAAATTGCAACAATTATCCAGTAGTTTCTGAATTTTAGTTTTGCAGTTGTGTTATTGTTAAACCGTTTCACAGTAGGACATCTGTAATACAAAACTACATTAAAACTGTAATTTACATGTTTAATAAACTAAAAAGCTACCATAAATTATTGCTGCAATCCATTGTAAATCAACAAGAATATGACATAAGCATATGACTTGCTGGTAAAAATAGGTGAAGTTGTATATATTTTTTTTCAACCGTCAAAAATGATGAAAATACAATTTTCCAATGAAAACAGCAAAAATGTTTAGAGTGGACACAAAAATAACAGTGTTATTTCTAAATGAGCTGATTTTGGGTGGCATAGATTAATACTGTAGGTGTAAGAATTTAAGATTCAATTTGATACTGTAGATTTTAAACACATTATACCAGTTTGATGATACAACATTTAAAAAAAAAAATATGTATAAGTGAAACTTTTTAGACACTCCAGCTCTTTTCTTTATGAGCTGGAGTTTTTTTTTTGTTTGTTTTTTGTTTTTTTGAAAAAAAAGAAAAAAAAAGTGAAGAAAATCAGTCTGCACATAATCAGATTTTTCCAGCAATATTTTTAGACCAAATTCTAGATTTTCCTTGAGCCAGCCAAGGCTCGAACGTCTCCCTAAGCTCCTCTTTGCCTCCCCCAACTCTTCCTGTCTGATATTAGCCCCCTGGCTCGCCTTAAAATGTGCGTTTCATTATTCAGGATTCAGTTCTGTTTGCCAGTGTAGACACACTTGTACCTGTTACATCCCAAGCCTATAGGGCAACTGAAGGACTCCTCTGTATCTTTTCCACCACCTTCTCACCTCCTCCCCTCTTCTGTCATCCCTCACTATACCACACCTGGTAACTACAAACTTGTACACAATAATAACAGCCGCATGTACCTATCTATCTCTCTATCTAGCCTGTCGGCAGTTAGTGGAGTGGCTGAGAGACTTGCAGGCGTGAAAGGTCAGTTAATCAATGGCTCACAATTTGACAAATCCCAGCGACTCTTATCATCCTCACGGGCGTTTAGGGGCCGAAAGGAGGACCACCGAGATAAATGCTTAATCCTGGCCGCTCAGAGAGGAGCGAAAGAGAACAAGCGGGTAAGCAGATGGGCATGCAGAGAGGCTGGGAGCAGCGGGGAGGAGAAGGAGGGGGTTGTTTGGAGGAGTAGGCGAGCAAAGAAAAGTAAAAGAAGCAAAGAAGGAGATGTAAAAGTGACTCCACTGCACAACTGGAAGGTGAACAAATGCGCCTGCATTTGGAAGATGTCAGCCGACTGCTTTCGTCTGTCACGTTCAAAAGGGGCACGCGACTTTGCGGCTCTCAGATCACTAGGTTTGCCTGGGGCTGGACAGGCCATGCACATGCCTTCTGGGCTGACGTACAAATCCGCTTCAGTCTTAGTTATGGGTTTGACACCATGTGTAAAGTTGAGAAAAACCTGAGGAAAACAAAGGTGTATGAGTGCCTGAATTCTCCCGTGGCATGTTAGCCCGCCTGCAGCAGTGTGCAACCAAGAGGAAAATGAGCTTTTGTCCACAAGGCTGGCCCTTTTCTTCCCTCTATTTTTCAAGCTGCAGGGGTTTGGAAGGTGGCAAACTCTCTGTGCCCTGTACCCTTAACAAAGATCACCTCAGTGTGACATCGGATCAGTTGTTTTTTTTCCCCCCGCTGAATTGTTTGTGGTTTTTAATCTTTTCTAGCTGTTTCATAGTGTCTAACGTAAACATACGTAAATGCTCAAATCTAAACACTGAGTATGTTTTTGCTGCTTTTTCAAGGTTGACCAAACTGTTGCTTTATTTAGTCTTGAATAATACATTGAAAATGCAATATTATTTTGTTGGCTAATTGGTCACATTTCCATTGAATCTAAAGGAGGATTTTGAAAGTTGTGGTTTCATAGCCCATTTTATAAACTATAAAAGCATTTCTACTATATTCAAAAATAATAGATGTAATTCTGTAGTTTTTTTTCTTTGTAGTCATATAATTTATTTGTTTAGACACAGTGCTGGTCCAAGTCAAATGCGAAGTAAGTTACTGCATAGGACCTCCTGACCAGCAGGGGGCTCCCCACTTGAATTCTTCTCAACAACACATATATATCTATATATCTATATATATATATCTATATATATATATATATATATATATATATATATAAACTTAACATTTATAGATATGTTTGCAGAGAAAAGTATGTGTGGATTATGGTTAAGATGGTTCTAATTTAGTTTGTTCATGTCTTCTGTTTGTGTCTGTGCTGAACTTATATTTCATCCAAACTGTAGCCACAAACTAATCATTAAATACATGAAAATTAGTCAGTTTTTTTTCCAACTCTACACTGAAATGTAATATTCCACAAATAACTGCAAAACCAGTTAAATAAGTCAGAATTTATTCATTTCTGTTTATTTAATAAAAATATATACTAGAATCAGGATCCAAAATCTCATTTGGATTAAGTCCCCAGGCCAACCGGCATTACTCAGACAGAAGGCAATGTTATCTTGTTGTTTGTTCAACCAAATTTTGAAGAATTGCGTTTGCATGCATGCATTGAGATTTCATCTGAGCTCTTGTTTTAGAAGAGAATCTGGCACACCTTGAGTGTCCTTTATCGCCGTCTCAATACAAATCCAATGTAATTCAATTGAGATAAGTTGAATTGGCATGACAGCAGATCTCTAGTATTGCCAAAGCACTTAGGAGGCAATGACAGGACCGCATCGATGCATACTGACACATACACAACACCGACTGACCGACCTGGTAGTGAAACTGAGACACACTCACAGATGAAGCACTGAGTCGGTGACAAGCCAAGTCAAAGACATTTTGGGAAAATAATCTCTGGAACGTAGAAGCTGAAGGTTTGTAAAGAATATGAAGCAAAGAGGAGAGAAATGGTGAAAGGAAGTGGATGGTGAGCCATGCTGAAGCGTGACATAGAATGAGAAAGAAAGGAGAGAGGGGGAGCGGGATAGAGGCAGTGAAAAAACAGAATGAGGCACAAGTGCCTCCAGAAAGTTTTTTAGGGAGTAGCCAGTTGTGGCCCACTAATAACTTTGGGTTGCCAGGCCAAAAACAAAAAGCCGGAATAGAATTTTAGATACTGTTTTGATTTATACAGTGGCATTCAATGAAAGCCAAAAATGTTACAACTTAATGAAACATTTACTCATTTATCGTAGGATGTTTGCAGTCTCTGGCTCGGGGAAAGTGGGGTTGCCTCCTTGGTAGCAGGGCTGGAAAGAGGTCATAGGAGGAAGACTAAGACCATAGGCAGAAAAAGAAGAGCAGAAAAGATAAAGAGACTAAAGAGGGGCAGGTTCAGAGGGGGATAAAATGTATAAGAGTGATGTACGAGAAGAGAGAAAAGGAAGAGATTTACTACAAGAGAGATTAAGTCAAGTTGTCCCCGGTCAGTCATTAATCCGATTTAAGCGCAATTAAGGTGAGACTGATTCCTTCCTAGAGAGAAAGAAGTAGATGGAGAGGCTGTAAAGAGGGAGAGCGGTGAGGGGGTTTGGAGGTGGGAGACAGGAATGGTAGACGAGGATGGAGTGATTGAAAGAGAAAAGTGGGAAAATGAAAACAGGTGTCTGAACTCAGAGAGGCTGTAAAGTGGGCAAATTAGAGACAGTGCGATGTACAAACAGACTCCCAATGAAACATTTTAATCCGTGCATTTGATCAGAGGTTTGATATTTTGAAAATACAGGTGGATATTTTTGCAAACTCTTTATCAATCATGTTTTCTAGAGATACTATGAGAAATCAGCTGTTGACCAAAATTGGCTGATTTTCAACTTGGCTGGTCTTAACTGGTCATGATCTCATCAAAATAAATAAAAAAATAAAAAACAGTAATCTTTTAATGTTGGTGAAATCTCTGTACTGTACTACAACTAGAAACCACACTTTTCTGTCTGGAAGTTTTTCTGGAAGGAAGAGGACTCTAAATTAGCTATTTTCAGAGTAAGTGAGATCCTTAATTGTGTTCCTATGGGAACTTAATTTTCTGTGTAGACATGACTGCAAAGTGTTCACAATGGTCATTTTAGATGGAGTGTGGCTTCAGTAGATAAGAAAGTTGAATGTAGTATAGTAAAAGTGATGCAATTCAGAGTTGCCTTCTGACATCTACCGAGATACTGATACTACTGAATGCTCAAAAGAGCTGAAAGGAAATGTTTTTAATTTTTAATTGTGGCTCTTAAAAAGACATTGGATTAGACAGAAATTGGTATAAAATTGGCCAAAATCACTCTGATCAGTGCATATTTGCCAGTGTTAATAATTTATACAGAATGCAGCTAACACTATTTTTTTGCCCATATAGCAGGTAACCAGTTTGTTGTTTTTGCTATTAGTGACATTAATCATGTAACTTTGGACTGAAGCTGTAAAGATTAGCTTGAAATTGTAGTGGCTGTTTTCCTATAGCTTAAGGAGTCAATAAGGAGCAGAAAGGACACAAAAGAGCAAAGAATGAATCTTTT